ATTTGCACCTTGGAACCAGTGTGATGGGATAGCCACTGCATGGGATTCAAGGATTTGGGGTGTCTGGATTCTAGATCCTCTTTTGATGATACCTGTGTTATTTGGGATAAGTCATTCTGTCCACCAGTGGGTCTCAAAGTGTGGTCCTCAACTAGAGCATCAGTATCTCCTGGGAGTTTATTAGAGATGCATCGTCTTGGATCCCATCCCACTCCCTGACTCAGACACGCAGGATCCAATAATTGGTGCTTTAACAGCCCTTCATGAGATTCGCGGGCCTGCTGGAGTTTGAGCACCATTGTTCACCAGGGACTCACTTTTTGCATCCATAAAATAAGGGCACCAGCCCACTGCAGCTCTCCAAAGGCCTTGGTATTTGGGCCCAAAACAAGTTTAGAAATTTTCTGTCTTGGAGCTTACACCTTCCCTTGGATGCGTGATTGAGATAATTCATCTGAAAAACTAGCATGTCCGTAACAGAGGAGAAACTAATCTTCAGGAATTAGATGCTCAGAGTAGACACCCGAACTGCGCATAAGATGCTCACTACAGAATAACTCATGGTATCTTCTGCTGGCTAATACCACATCCCCAAACTTTAGAACCTTTGTGTTTTGGAAAGGGAAGCAGCGACTCACCCTGTCCCTTGGGGCTGAGAGATGTCTGCTGTGATTCACGGGGCAGCCCTTCCAGAGGCACTAACAAATGGCATTTCGGGAGGATGTACAGAGGTACATGGGCTTGGCAGTAAAACAAGGGGAAATTTCAAGCCATTCATCAAAGCTCCTGCAGCTTCCATTTCAAGACAGGTGGAAAAAAATAACACGGAACAAGAAAAGAAAATAAATCTGTATCCAGAGCATCTCATAAATAAGAAAGAAGTTGGGGAGCTGCTGGCCTTTCCCGGCTCTCAGAGTATTTTTGTCACAGTACAGAAAGCTTTTAAAATGCTTTGGCGTGTAATTCTTTTCCTTTTCCTGTTATCAGAATCTCTGCTTGTGAAGTTATTTCACTGGCTATTATACCAAAAAAAGAAAATCATTGCAAGGAGAGGGAGGCTGGAAAAATGATATCTGGAGTTAGAGAAAAAGAAAAAAAATAAAAGTACAGTTTACTTCCAACTACAAAATAATTTTTTTCATCTAAAATCTAGTGATGCTTCATAATTTAGAGCAAGTCATTGAAAATCAAAGGCAATTTTCTAACTGGCTTTTGCTTAGTAAGAGCTTATTTGTCTGAGACAATTAGGACATGGTTTATTGAACATGAGAGAGGTTTTGTTCCATGATAATGTCTGGGAGGGATGGGGAAATTACGGCTTTTATTAAAAAGGATGATTTTAGGCCCACTCTGCCTGAGGGAGTAGTGTTGACTAAGGAGAAATACAACAACTGGGGATGTCTTTGTGGAATTCCCGGCACTGTCAGGTGGTTGATCAACCTGGTTCTCATTCTGGCTCTGCTATATATACTGGCTACCCAAATTGTCATGCCTCAGTTTCCTTCTTGCCCAAAGAGGATAACTATAGTACCTAACTGGTGAGGGTTTTATGGGTATTAAGAGCTCCACATGCAAGATGCTTGGCACAATCCCTGGTACATAGTAGACATTGTTTTATTATGAGAATTTGTTAATCAGTTATAGTCTTTAAAAGAACCTTAAAAATAAATTACATTTTTTCCTAAACTGAAGGATTTTTTTTTTTTTTTTTTGAGACAGAGTCTGACTCTATTGCTCAGGCTAGAGTGCCAGGGCCAGTCTAGCTCATAGCAACCTCAAACTCCTGGGCTCAAGCGATCCTCTTGCCTCAGCCTCCCAAATAGCTGGGATTACAGGTGCCTACCACAGTAGCACCTAATTTTTCCATTTTTAATAGAGATGGGGGTCTTGCTCTTGCTCAGGCTTATCTCAAACTCCTGAGCTTAAGAGATCCCCCCACCTTGGCTTCCCAGAATATAAAACAGCAATACCCCAATTGATACATTGAATGTGTGCTTGAGGGAGGGGTGTGATTAATAGAAGGACATTTCAGTGGGCTCCTGGGTGCAAAATCAAATAAGACTGGTAAGTCTTCAGCCACGGTTATGGTCTTCTTACTGGTACACTTCTCTAACACATAGCTTTGGGGAGTTGCTGGAATTAAAATCAGAGAAAAAATATATTTTTTTAAACTGGATTTATTCTTTTAATGTATTTATTTTTGAAATTCATAGACAAACAGTAGAAATAGGACTGAAATAAATGTCACATTTCCTCTGTTATATGTGGCACACCCTTGTTCATTGGCTGGCCCATGCTGCTTAGCAGTTAATATTGATTAGCCTACATTTTTCTCACATAAACTTTTCTCAGTCTTTGTGCAAAGTCTAAATGCTAGAAGTACTAAAATAAATGCACTCAACTTTGAACATGGTGGTAAGTAAAAAATAGGAACAAAGGATTGTTGAGACATATTGTCTAAGAAGTCATTGCCTGCTCTGCCAAAGCCAAGATGTGAGGTCCTGGTCAAGCTTCTCACTCATCTAAGCCACAGTTTTCCCAGCAGTGTAATGGAGATAACAACTGTACCCACCACAGAAGAGAATTCATACATGCAAAGTGTAAAATCATGATAACACTGAAAGTTCTCAGCCATTACTCATTTTTTAAATTTCAGGTTTATATGAGGATACAATGAGATTACAGTGTTGGCATTTGTTAGATAGAGTCCCCTTGTTGTGTCCTGTACCCACGAGGTGTACCATATACCCTTCCTTGTGCCCATTAAGTGGAAGACACCAATCCCCTTCCCTCCTTCCCTCTCTCCTCCTCCTTCCTTTCCCCTCCCCTAACTTCAATTGCACTGAGTTTTTCTCTTACGTGGGTGCATATTAGATCATCTACTGCCTTCATATTAGTACTGAGTAAAGTGGATACTTGCTTTTCCATTCTTGGAATACCTTATCAAGAAGAATGCATTTCAGCTCCATCCAGGCTTATACAAAAGATGTAAAATCTCCATCTTTTTATGGCTGAATAGTATTCCATGGTATACATATACCACAGTTTGTTAATCCATTCTTGAGTTGATGGGCATTTAGGTTGTTTCCACATCTTGGTGATTGTAAGTAGAGCTGTGATAAACAATCTAGTGCACATGTCCTTATGATAAAATGATTTTTTTTTTCTTCTGGATAGATGTCTAATAATGGGATTATGGGATCAAATGGGAAATCTAATTTGAGTTTTTTTTGGCCGGAGCTGGGTTTGAACCTGCCACCTCAGGCCTATGGAGCCGGCACTCTACTCCTTTGAGCCACAGGCGCTGCCCTAGGGAAATCTAATTTGAGTTCTTTGAGGATTCTCCATAAATCTTTCCAAAGAGGATGTATTGTGGTTGCACTCTGAAAATCTAATGTATAGAAATCAAACTAATCAATCTACATTTTATTATTCTTTGCTAAATAACTAAAAATATTATAAAATCTTAAATAACAGTTACTTTTTAGACTAAATATGTGATCATTATTTCCAGTTAAGACTGGACCCCACTGCATTTGACATGCCAAAAGATTTTTATTTTTGTTATCATACAGTTATATTTATTTTATGAGATTGATCTTTCTTGTCTTTGGTAGCAGTACTTTGGTATTTTAAAAACTCTCCAACATTTTAATAAATGAATCAGGATAAAACGCTAATATAAAATATTCAAATCCTTGTACTGACACGACCTGTTGCTATGGACCAGGATACTCTCTGTTAACCAGTTTGATGTAAGCATTACAAATTATATATAAAATCAGTACATTGTACCGCATAAATACATTAATTTACACAGTTTTTATTTAATAAAAAAATTAAGAGGTAATAATAAAATAAAACTGTGGAACTGTGGCTAGTAGGCAGCACTGCTGTCCCATAGTTGTAGGTGTTGTTCAGTAGCTTATAAACAAATTCTAATCTACATGGAAGAGAGTTTAGCTGTACTCTTGAATAAAATGGAAAAGTATGAGTTGTTTGAACCTTGAACAAGTAAAGAAAAGGCCTTCCTGTACTGAAATTAGAAAAAAGTGCCCTTAACCAAAATTTCCCTGGCAGAATAGAAATTCAAGCTCTTTAAAGTATTAAGGGACAAAGTAAAAATATATCATTTCATGCAAATGGGATGGATCCTGAGGCCAAAGCAGTTTTCTTTAATATGTCTTTAACATTTCTTTTTCATCTATTTAAACTGGGCAGGGGGGATTGCTTTCCCTTAAATCACTCACCGTTTAGATCTGAATTTTTAGGACAGTTCAAAATTTTCAGTGATTAATGGTGGAGAATGGTCTAAAGAGTAAAATGGTCTAAATAAGAGTCTTGTGCATTTCCCAGGTGATTTCAAGCACATGGAGAATTGAGATGAGTCAGGCCTGTTCCCTGGCTCAGCATATTTGTAATTATTCTTTCATCTTCAGGGTTCTCAGTGTTAAGTGTGACCACAAGGCCAGACACTCTTTCTGGGAGTCAGCCTGGACACCTGAATGTTATCCGTGCCTGTGCTCAGAGGCCTATGGGCCGTGTTATCCTGGACAGTTCACAAAGCCTGTCCACACGTGAGGATAAGTGTGTTGAGGTGTGGGTAGGTAATAGTTTCTTGGGAGTCACTTTATGAGTTAAAGGGCAGAGATGTGGCTTCATTCTATGCCTTTCTCTCCAATGCTGTCAGTTTCACTTTAGAGCAGCCACCAGAAATACATTTTGTATCATTTTCTTTTCCTCACAATGTTACATGCCTAAGAACATTTCCGTATTTTGATCTTCAACTGTGTTTCCTAGTCCCAGGTACAACAGCTGGTTTTGCTGAATCTGAGGAGCTGTAGAAAGAAACTCCTACCCCCTCCACCCCAGCAGGTTCACGTGGAGATATTTGGAACTGGCCTTGTGGGTCATCATTCTTGAGGAGAGAAACCAGAGCCCTGGTGGTCGATGAAATCTGTGAAGAATTAACCTCACCAAATATTTTGTTTTCATGACAGAATCATGTCAACCCGGCCATGGACTTCACTCAGACGCCCCCTGGGATGCTGGCTCTGGACAACATGCTGTACTTTGCTAAGCACCACCAGGATGCGTACATCCGGGTAAGCCTGCAAGCCCTTTTCAGATAAATATTTTCTTACTGAATTTTAATTCCAAACTTGCAAAAACAGGGGGATTATCTCTAGATGAGTGTCGGGGCCAGGACTGACCAGGTCTCCAGCCCCGGCTTACCTAGCTATGTTCTGGACGGGGACTGCTGTGCTCTCTAGCTGAGAACAGTTACCCTTAGGTGCCTGAGGGCTATTTGCCTCAGCAGAAGGGAGAGAGAGAAACAGTCTTTGAGGGAGAGAAGCAGTCTTAGCAAGAGAGTGAATCTTAGCAGTCTTTTGTAGAGAGACGCCATGCAGGAGTTCTGCAGGCCAGAGAAGTGAAAGAGTCCGAGTGAGCAGGTCTATGAAAGATCGTCCATACGCTCCCCAGCTGCCTTCTCCTGCACCTTCTTACAGCGACCTAATCCCGTGGTCCTTGCACCACAGGTGTAAAGACTGCCAATCACTGCTGTCCTCAGCTCTCGAGCTCTCATGCTAGGGGAGCTGAAACTCTCCCCCGTGCCCTTGTCATCAAGGTGTTTCCTATGATTACTGAGTGTTCCAAGCTTAGCTCTCGCTTCTCCTTGCCATGAGCTATGTGGTCTGCGACAGATGAGTGACTCCAGTTCTTAGGTTTTCTCAGTAAACTTAAAAAAAAAAAAAAAATCAACATTAAGTGAAATCAATTGGGGGACTGAAATGGGGATTTTAAACTTTTAAAATTTTTTTTACATGATGACATTTAATATAGTTCAATATTGAGTTGTGACAAAACCTGAAGCTTAGATAGCAAAGGACAAAAATGAACTGTCTACCCCAAAGCTGCATAATCTCAAACTCAGTGGAGACCCTGTTAGACGTATTCTCAAAGTTGGGAAGAGGCCCGGGATTCTCTCTGGTGTCCTGCTTCTGTTCAGTCTGGTGCTGGAGATTCAGTAAGGTACGCGAAAAGGAAGAGAAAATGGGAGAGTTGGGGGGGAAACAAATGCATTCTCTCATTTTACAATAGACTAGTCAAATTAGATAGTGCCCTTCATGAGTGGGGCAGAAGGAAGGGGAGGCCTGTCTTTCCTCTCTGTAATAGAAGATGCCCCCTGCTGATGGCATGGTGCCCGTGTGGAGAGGACGAAGTGGGAAGGAATGGCGCTAAGGTGAAGTGACGCAGAGGGCTCATCCCATCAGGGGTGTCCGGTTGGAGCCCTTGATTCATGCTGATACTGATTCCTGTCTGCAGGGAGAAGGGCCCGATTCAGTCAGCATGACATAGACCCCAGGCTGAGATCTCAGGGTTGTCAGCAGGGAAAGTAATGATTATGCCTAAGCTTCGGAAAGATGTGACAAGCTTCTTACCTGAAGCAGGAAGAGTGAGGCTGAACTTAGTTTGAGAGATTGTCTATTACTCTGACATTCTCTGCTGGATTCTTGGTTTCCTCGAGACCTGGGTTCAAACCTGGGCACTGTCAAAATCTAGTAATCTAAACGTGGACAGTTCCTTTTGTCTTGGCTCAAGTAAAAAAGAGACTTGCTGATTCTCAGCTGAAACAGTAATCATTCCCCTAGAGGCCATTTGGAAATGTGCAGGCATGTTTCTATGGGGGTCACGGTGATAACTTACTGGCCAGACCTATAATCTGTGGGACGGTCTACACACTGAAGAATGTACACCCAGCACCAGCCCCTTGAATAAAGCCATGCCAGATTTCTGAGTTCTCTCTAGGCAATATGTTTTAAAGTTATGTGATTTTCTACATATGCAACTTGGGAAGCTTTGACCTATTCTAAAATATTATTTGTAATTTGATTATATAGAGGATTTTATGGTATTATCTCTAAAAGGTTTGGGATCGGGTGTTTAGTTAGAAAGACAATCTGCCATAGGAAAATTTTTTTTTCAGGCGGCGCCTGTGGCTCAAAAGGGTAGGGCACCGGTCCCATATGCCGGAGGTGGCAGATTCAAACCCAGCCCTGGCCCAAAACTGCAAAAAAAAAAAAGATAAATAAAAATAAGTAAAAAAAAAGAAAATTATTTTTTCATACAACTTTCATTTAACGTATATGTGTATGTTTGTTGTACAAATGTTTCCAAGGAATGTAATCTGTGTTCCTAGTAAGTAAATTAACATCGTTGAGATAACCATTGAGAGTTGAGTGTGAAAAGTAGAAGCTGAGTAGAAACTGAATTTACCATTAACTGATGAATGTTTGCCGATGAACGTTTCTAAAATTAGAGCTTATTGATGCTGAATGTATTGTTAATTGCATAAGAAGCATATGTCTCATGAAAAGTAATTTAATGTTTTAGGCTTGCTTTCCCCTCTAAACACTGTAAGTGAAATTACTACCATGGCAACCTGACAGAACTTTCTCTCTGATAGGGACTTAAGCAACAATCCTATGGGTAAAAATAACTGTGGCTTTCTTGTGTCCACATGCACTTTGCATTGTTGGTTAGACGTTCTATCTCTGATGTCTTTATCCCTGATTTTGTTCCTGGGTCTCAGGAATTTAAGGCATTTACTCGATCGCATGCTAAAGCCATTCCCTTGAGTGGATAGGGTTAGTGGATTATATGTGAAGTCTGAGGCTTTCTGCAAGGAAGTTTTGGGGTGAGTATGAAAGTAGAAATCTCAGTGATAGTCCAGGAGTGCTCCGCAGGGACCATAGTGAGCCTAGACAGCTCATGAAAGTTAGATCCCTGGGCGGAACGGTCTCTTCCCAAACATAAAGAGAGGATCACTTTTTTTTAAAGTTTTGATAAAATTTGCTTTTATTGATGATGTGAATCTCCCCTATGAGTGCAGTTCTTCATTTAGACCTATATCTTCCATTTGATAAATGCTTGTTTTATACCTGAACATAGCCTGACAATTCGCTATCTTTGCCAGTCAGATTTATAGTTGAGAGCTTTCTTCAAGCTGTTCTCTCTGTGTCTTTCACACACCCACACAGGCACACACTTGCACATGTAAATATTCTCCCTGTGCCCTTGATGCTGCCCTGTCCCCAGGTATCGTGTTCCCCTCGCGTTCCGAGTCGTCCTCTCACCTGCCTTCTCGCTGACCTGCATGCGTACTCACCTGCCGCCCCATTTGCAACACCCTCCACCAAGCTTTGTACTCATCACTTTCTGGAAGCTGTTCTGCCAAATGTAGGCCATTCGCTTCATTCTTCATCTCATTTCTTCTGCCCTGGACACCTGACACTGTTTCCAGTGGCCAGGCCTGTCTCTTTTCCTGCAGCCGGTGCCGTAGGTCTCGGCCCAGCTGGCTTCTCATCTTCTGCCTGCCCATCCGGTATGTGATCCCCAGGACGTCTGTGCCTTTGCTTCCCAGTCACACAGGTGCACGTGCTTCCTGAAAGACCACGAAATGTCCACTGTGGGCCCAGGGATGGGGGTCCCCAATGAACAAGGTACTTGGGGTCCTGATGCTGGGAGTTCACTGTGTGGAGAGGCAAGGTGTGGATGGTAGTGAGGATGGAGGTGAAGGGACAGATACTAGGCGGTTTCCACATCACTTGGCGAGTGTCTCTGCTGGGGACGGAATACTGGCTGACCAGAAAGAGTGCCACTGCAGATGGGGTCAGGAAAGCGCCTAAGGAAGTGGCATCTCAGCTCAGAGTACTGATAGTACTAGTAACCAGGTGAAGGGAAGGATGTGAGGAGGGACCCCACACAGAGGATGCCTAGCAAGCAAGGCAGGACAGTTGTGTGCGCTTTGTTCAGGGAGCCAGACTGTTACAGGACAGCTCAGCTGGGGAGTGACAGAGACACTAGCGCTTGAGAGAGGCCTATGTGGGCTAGTTAGGGACATTTAAGCCATTTTCAAGGGTTCGTTTAGACCTAAAGACAGTGCAGAATTTTTGAAGTGTTTTAAGTAAAGATGATGAAAATTAATTTGAGAAAAATCACTCTCCCACTAATAAGCCAATGTGAGAAATCAAGGCTAGAAACATAAATAAAATTTGAGAAATTATAGAAATGGAAATACCTGAACTAGAGCAGTGGGAGTAGTAATGGAGAGAAGCAGGAGAAGTAGGGGTTACTTTGGAACTAAAATAAATAAGACCCTGTCCAAGGAAGAAGGAATGTCTGACTTGACAGGATAGTAGATGTGGTGTCATTAAATAGACAGCCAGGTCTGTGGGGGGCAGGCTTCCAGAGCTTCCAGACTTATGTGGGCCTGTAGTCTGTCCAGGAAGGCCTGTGTGGTGCCGGCAGTGAGATCTGGGTGGCAGGGCCCAGGCCCATGAAGACGCCACATTCCCTATATTCCGCCTCCTTGAGCACTTCCTGTTCCCTCCAATTCATTCATCTGTATGGCTGCCATATTGTTTTAATGGCCTTCCTGCTAAAGCCTGGCACCTTCTAATCCACTTCCCCTGCTGACTAGAAGGATCTTTGTACACGTAGTTCAAATTTAGAAATTTGTACCGGGACCACCCCTGGCCCAATGCATCTTTCTGGACCTTGCTCTCTTGCTACCCACTTTCCTTTCTCTCTTCTTCACTCTCCCATTGCCATGGTCCATACAAAATGATGGACCACAAGACGTCCCCACACTGTGTCTTTGCTCCCATGCGTGCTTTTGCTAAGTGCCTGTCTGGCTATTGGGCAGCCCCCATGGCCAAGGTCATCTTCTCTCTGAGGACTTCTTGAGCGTCCACCTGGCTGACTCCATACACTCTCTTATACACACTTACAGTCTAATTACTAGAATATTTTATAACTTTAAATGTATTTACCCTCTTCCCTAATTGATTGTGAACTCTTTGTGAACAGGCACCAAGGATCATTTATATTCTAGCAATTGGCACAGCACACCCTGGCTTTTAATAATTTCTTCCTAATTATGTAAGTAAAGATTGAATTTGTTTTAACAGCCTCTTGCCAGTGATCAACTCTTTCATTTTCATCACCTGAGAATCATGACCTTTGTTCCTTAGTTTTAATTGTCTGCTTTTGCCACATGAATTCTGTGATAGATGGCCTGGTTTCTCCTGACATATTCGAG